TGCCGTCGAGTACCTCGTCCCAGAGCTCCGTAGCAGAGGATTATTGCCGCCGGCGATTCCTGATGACGAGCCGGCTCCTACTTTCAGAGAGCAGATCTATGGGCCTGGACAAAAGGGGTTGAGGTCTGACCACCCGGGATTCAAGTACAAGTATGATACTTACGAAGAGACTATTGCCAAGGAAAGTGCTGCGAAAGCTGCAACGGCGGAACATTGAAGATAGCCGTGAGCCGTCAGTTTAGGGAGGAATTTTGACAGGAGTTAGCCTTAACGAGCCGCGTATCTTTTAGCTCAAAAACCTGTACCTATTCAGAGTTACGTCATGTTTCTCATGAACCGGGGTGTTCATGTTGGGACGGCTTTTACTTGCACAGTCAGTAATGTTGCTCAATTGATTCACTCATCATAGTTTTCTCTGAATTTAGGAAAATGTTTTCCTGCCGCCCGCATCATCTAAATCTCATCACGAGTTGCTCCATGCAGCAGCACCAAGTAGCTCATCGATGACAACTCGGCCGCTTGGCATGAAGCGCGCCCGACCCCAGCGTGGGGCCGGGTCCCCCACCGGAAGCACAATAATGTGATCATCAAAGACAGCCAGCCTTAATCAGGAAGCAATAAGCACGCTCGCAAGCGGTGAACCCACGGTAGATGTTGCCAAGACTCAAACATGTGCCGAACGTGGATCCGTTAAGGTAGGAATGACAGGTGACCACCGACCCGGTTCAGCAAAAACTCGATTGCTCCCCGCAATCCCCGCATCATCCAACTCGGTCACGACACCACCACCGGGACAGAGCAACGACTCACAAACACGTCTTCGGATCCAGCGCCATGGCTAGAGGTTCATCGATGGTCCAGGCCACAGCTATTGGAGCTTTCAGGATCTGGTAGACCCCGCCAGGCTAGAGGTAGGGCCGACTCAGACCCCAGACCTTAGACTTGGGACTTGGAATCCATCAACACAGATCCATGTCACCATTCCCAATTATCATTCTTGCAATGCTACAATGTGGATGCTGCGGGATTTCTGGGGTCTCCGCACCTGTTCCATTGGATCTACGACCCGAACATACTCCGGTATCCAGCTTCGAGACCATCACGGACGAAGAAAACAGCGCCACCCACCTTCGGGCTTGATGGGATGAATCTGGGTTGTCTAGCTCAAGTCTATTTGGATAAGCTTAACAACCTTATGCAACGTATGTGAAGAATTAGTTCTTAGCTCAAAAAGCACGGCTCTCAGGCTCAAAAGGCTAGCTACTTCATCATAGCCGTGATTAGGAGAATGAATACAGCTTGAGATCACAATGGAATCTGATAAGTCTAGCAACTGCCAATGAGTTGCAACAACGAGTATATCCAGCGCTCCAGCTTCGGTGGGATCGCTAGGTGTCGTACACTTGATTGTGCCACTCGTTGATCTCGCTTTACTTTAGCGCTCGGGACGTATGCGAATTCGCGGAGTTCTCTCCCGACAGGAAAGCATGACATCGTCACCTTATTAGCGCTTATACCCATATAAATAAATTAAATATAAGGTTCGTATTTAATTATTTAGCTTATTTCTTGCGCTATATTTAATTATTTAATAATTAATTAATAGATTTAATTAATTTTTTTAATTAGGAATTAAATAAAGCTATTATAAAAGTCCTTATAATACTAACTTATAGACTTTATTTTAATTAGCTTTTCTAATTAAAAAATTATTTTTTTATTTTTATATTATTATTATAAAGCTAGTTCTTAAGATATTAAACCTCCTTTAGTATAGAGGATCTTATTAATAATTATTATAAAATTAAAATTAATTTTACAAGGCTAAATATTCTTTTATAATTTATTACTATTATAAGGATTATAAAAATATTAAATATAAGCTTATTTAATATTAAATAAGTTAATTAATAATTAATTTATTATTAAATTAGGTTAAGGACTAGCTAAGGAATAATTTATAAGTAATATTAATTAAGCTTAGGTACGTAGTTAATTACTATGTCTATTATTTAAAATATTAATTATTACTAATATTACGAATTTTTATAATATTTTTTAGAATTATAAGGGTATTAAAAATAGCTTATAATTATAATAATAAAAGAGGAGGACTTACTATTTTATTTATATACTATTTTTATTAATAATTATAAAGTTCTTTTTTTATATTAAATAGTTAGTAATTTTATTTAAGTATATTCTACTTCTTTCTTAGCTATTTTAATTTTTACTTAGGATAATTATTATAATATAAAGCGGAGAGTTACTTAACTTAGTATAATACTTATTAAGGACTTACTAAGTATTAATAACTAATAATTAAAAATATCCTTACGAGTTAAAATTATTATTAAGAAGTAGCTCTACTTACTCTTTAAGTATATACTTAGATTAAATATAATAAAGGATATTACTTAAGGTTAGAGATTAAGAAAAAGGTTAGGATATAAATTAATAACGAGCTAATTAGTAATAAAGTAGTACTATTTATATTAATTACGATTATAATACTACGATTTAAGAAGCTATAAGATTTTTTTTTTAAAAAGGTTTATTATATAACTTTTTTTACTCCTCGAGATAGTTAATAAAATACTTAAGACTTATTATTACTTTTTATAAATAGCTATAACTATCTCTTTTATTCTAGCTCTAATATTTTATTATTTAAAAATAAAGTAGTTTAAATACTATTTTTAGCTTAGTTAGTAATTATTAGTCGTTATTATTAAAAACGTCCTTAATAAAGATTTATTACTTTAGATTTTTTTAAGCTTAACTAGTTACTAAGAAAGTATAAATCTATTTTTTTTATAAAAAGTGCTATATTATAAAATATATCGAATTTTATTTTATATTATTATTAAGTATTAGTATAAGCTTTTATAATGACTTTTTAAAGAGAGTAAATATATCGTTTTTATTAATCTTATTATTAACTTTAAGGAAAGTTTTATATTATTAAAATAATAAGTAAATAAATTTAATAACGTTCTAAAACTTATTAATAGGGCCCCTTATATACTAGAAGTTAAGATCTTTTTAAAGTTATTTAATATTAATTAATATATTTAATTTTTATTCGAATACTTTTTTATTATTACTAAATAAAAAGGCCCTATTAACGAGGTTAAGAATATAACCGTAGTATTTTATCCTCTAATTAAAAATATCTTTTTAAATATAAATATAAAATAATATAGAATATAAATAACTTAGGTAAGTATCGTTATTTAAAGTATTATTATAAATAATTACTTTAACTTAGTTACTTAATTCTTAATTATTTATTACTAATTTTATAATTTAAGTAATATTAGCCCTATTATAAGTACTATATTATTATTATAAAATAATAAAGTATTATATCTATTACTTAGTATAGTTTAAAAAGTAAGTAAAAATAGTAATAATAGTATTTTATATTAATAAAGTTTATAAATTAAATAATAAATAGACTTTTATTATTAACCTCTAGATCTTTACCCTAATTATATCTTTCTTTTTAATAAAGATCTTACTTTGCTTTTTTTTTATATTTTTATATAATAATAAGAGTTTATTAATAATATTATAATTTAATTAATAAAAGAGGGCTTAGAAATAAGGATTATAAAAAGTTATAAATAGGCTATTATTATTAATAATATACCTAATTATTAATTCTTTAATTCTTATTACTTAGCTTTTTATAATAATACTAAAAGTAAGTTTCTATCTCTTTAATATAAAGTTATACTTAGAGGATTTTAATAAATATAACGACTTACTAAAGCTTAGATTTATTATTTAATATTTTAATTTTAAATAAGCCGTTACTAAGCTCATAATTATTATTTTAAAATAGGTAATAATACTTATTTTATTATAATAATAATAAAATTAAAAAACTTTACTTTAAATATTTTTATTATAAATTTCTTAAATAAAGACCTTTTTTAAACGGATTTATAACTTTCTTAGCTTTATACTTTTTTATAATATTAAATTATTATTAATAAAAATCCTCCTTTTTTAAATTATTTTTAAAAAGGTAAGGAGGTTATTATAATTATTAAAATTAGTTAATAATACGAGGCTAGTATTAATTAAGGTCTATAGTTACGAAGTAATTTAAAATAATAGTTACGTACTAAAAATTATCTAATTTATTACTAATTAATTAATTATAATATAGCTAATTAATTAATATATAATTTAATTAATTTTAATAATAATTATAATAGTTATAAAGGGTTAGAAATAGTAGTACGTAACTTCGTTAGTTTTATTAATATTAAAAAAAGGGAGTATTAGAGGTTTTTTAGATTTTTAAATATAATAAGATATTAAATTTAAAGTTTTATAATACTTAGGCTTTTTTTCTTATAATAATTATTAATAATTTATTTAGTTAAGTAGTATAATACTAAACTTATAATTATAAATAAGGAGTCGTAAGTTCGAATCCCGTTTTAAGTATTTATATTCTTGATTATAAACTTTTATAAAATATAGTTAAGAATATTAATTTTTAATTAGCCCAGCCCTAGATTTTTTTTTTAAATAACTTTATATTTAATTAAATATATTAAATATAGGGCCTTATAATATTTAATTATTTAACTTGCTAAAATTCCTATATTTAACTATTTATTTAACTTATTTATTTAATTAATTTGAATGGGTATAAGCGCTGCACCTTATATAGCTGGAACCCCTTATCCGCTATATAACAGAGCCCTATATTAGTTTTATTGACCGATACAAGGCCGTTAGATAGCGTGCTAAGAACAGATATCGCATTGCCCCCATACCTACACGGTTCGTTGTCTGAGGTAGCATCTACTGCCAAGTCGATCCGACCTCGACGATGGCCGTCTGCTATTAGAGATTGGCCATGTGCCACTATAAATACCCCTCTGGCTCTTTCAGCCAGATAATGTGAGAAATCTCAGGATCGTTAGTCTCAGAACCAATTCCATACTACGTGCTTCTCCTCTGAGATCACAACCATTATGAAGCTCGAAGTCGCAACACTGGCCTTCGCCAGCCTCGTCCTACCAGCTACCTGCGAATCAACCCCCTCCTTCCCAAAAGAGCAAAGGCTAGCCCGCCAAGATAACACGGAGTCTCTACCAATCTACAAGAACTCATCCTACTGCGTCGACGCACGCGTCCAAGACCTTATCCAACGGATGACAGTTGAAGAGAAAGCCGGCCAGCTCTTTCAAACTCAACTCTACCAAGGTCCCAATGGCACTCTCGACCCTGGCAACGTCACGGCCCGCCGCAACAGCACCGATAACATGATTGGCGAGAAGTTCATGACGCACTTCAACCTTGTCGGCGACATCACGGACGCGAAGCAGGTTGCAGAATTTGTCAACCTCGTTCAGCAGCGTGCTCTGGATACGCGTCTGGGTATCCCCGTGACCCTTTCTACCGACCCTCGGCACCACTTCACAGAGAATATTGGCACTGGTTTCCAGGCTGGTGTCTTCTCACAATGGCCAGAGACACTCGGTCTTGCCGCTCTGAGGGATCCCGAGCTCGTTCGAAAGTTTGCCGAGGTCGCTCGAGAGGAGTACATTGCTGTCGGCATCCGAGCTGCCCTGCATCCGCAAGTCGACCTTGCTACCGAGCCACGATGGGCACGCCTGGGCAATACCTGGGGCGAAAACGCGACCTTGACAAGCGAGCTCATTGTCGAGTACATCAAAGGCTTCCAAGGAAGGGAGATCGGTCCTCACAGCGTGACGACTGTGACAAAGCACTTCCCTGGCGGTGGTCCGATGGAAAACGGTGAAGACTCTCACTTCACATACGGCAAGAATCAGACATACCCCGGAAACAACTTCGAGTACCATCTCACCCCCTTCAGGGCGGCAATTGCAGCCGGCGCGAGGCAGATGATGCCGTACTACTCCCGTCCGATAGGCCTGTCTGATAACTTAACCGATTACGAGCCAGTCGGCTTCTCCTTCAACAAGCAAATCGTCACGGACCTACTCAGAAACCAACTCGGCTTCGAAGGTATCGTCGTCACTGACTGGGGTCTAATCACTGATACGGTGATCCGCGGCCAAGACATGCCGGCACGCGCATGGGGCCTCGAAAACACGACCGAGCTTCAGCGCGCAGCTCGGATCCTCGATGCTGGGTGTGACCAGTTTGGTGGTGAGCAGCGTACCGAGCTCATAATCCAGCTGGTAGACGAAGGCATCGTGTCCGAAGACCGCCTTGACGTCTCCGTCAGACGTCTCCTTCGCGAAAAGTTTCTCCTCGGGCTCTTCGACAACCCCTTCGTCGATCCCGAGGCCGCAACGAGAGTTGTTGGCAACGACTACTTCCTCCGGCTGGGCAATGATGCCCAGCGCAGAGCCTATACTCTTCTCACGAACAAGGATGAGCTCCTCCCTCTAAAACACATCAGCGCAGAAACCAAGTTTTACATCGAGGGTTTCAACGCCACGTTCCTCGAGGCACGCAACCTCTCGGTCGTTGAGACACCGGAAGAGGCGGACTACGCCCTGCTCCGCCTCGATGCACCCTACGAGCCTCGTCCAGGCGGCTTCGAAGCAGCTTACCATGCCGGCTCGCTCGAGTACTCGGACGAGGAGAAGGCGCGCCAGGCCGCGATCTATGCGGCCGTGCCCACCGTCGTCGACGTGATCCTAGACCGTCCTGCTGCGATACCCGAGGTGTTCGACGCCGCTTCTGCGGTGTTGGGCAGCTACGGGAGCGGTAGCGAAGCTTTCTTGGATGTGATCTTCGGATTGAGCAACCCCGAGGGCAAGTTGCCTTTTGATCTCCCACGATCACAGCAAGCCGTGGAAGAAGCGATGGAGGATGTGCCGTATGATACGGTGGATCCTGTATTCAGGTTTGGCCATGGGCTGCGCTATGCCGATAAGTGTTCGTTGTGATGGCGCGCGATATGTGGCGCGACGCTCGATGTCCTTTGTCAGCGAGTAGTAGCGAGATTTACCAGGAATAAGGGATGTGAGAGGAGCAGTGGTCATGACTATAATGATTGATGAGACCGGACTTCTGAGAAAGTATGTTTGGATGATCGCATTCACGCATGAAGAATAATCTTAAATGTGCTATTGAACAATAAAAATGGGGAATCTTTGATTTTTCTATACCAATTCAAGTCTATCATCAACATCCTTCGCTGCTTCAATGCTCCTCTTCAATACGCTGGTCTCCGATCCGCTGAGCTCTCTCGCGTTCATACCAACCATGCAGCTCATATCCTTCTTCCTTGCCCCCTTAACCCATTGCTGGTCAATCATCCAGTGTGTCGGCACCGCAAACTCGTTCGGGTCGTCCATCTTGTTCTTCAAGAGCCCGCCGTTATACCACAACAAGTTATCCACCTCGTCCACGTGCGCAATCACGAAGCTGCACACCTGCGTCATCTCGGTCTGCACTCCGCTAAACGGCTTCCGCCAGCCGACCATACCGCCATAGTGTCGCGAGAAGCTGTACGTCGAGCCCGTAGCCTCGAGGCCGATCCAGTACGTCTCCTTGTCGCCGTACGTGATCCTGTACGTCCACGAGTTGCGCACGGCGTGCGTGTTCTGCCACGCCGTGTGTAGTAAGCCCATGAGCACGTTCAGACGGCCCTTGTTGAGCACCACGATGCCAGAGTCGCCTTCCTCGGCGTACTTTTCCGTCCACACGAGCGACTTTTGCAGCTCCTCGCTTGGGTGTTTGATCATATCGTGGAACCATTCGTGTCTCTCGGGGAACTGATCTTTCCAGAGCAGTCGGTCATGGAAGAGAAGCGCACCCTTTTCTTGGTAATTGCGCTGTTGGAAGAGCTGCTCGGGTTTCTGCAGGAAGACGACATCCGCATCCAGGAGAATAACTTCCTCGAACCGGCTGCCGAGTGCGGCAAACGGCTTAATCGCCCATCCTCCCTCGGCCAACTTCAATGTCGTGTCGTTGAAGACAGTCAAAATGTCCAAAAATTCAATGCGTCCGCCATCGCCCTCAGCAGCTTGCACAAGCGTGTCGCGGTCCTCCTCAGATAAATCCTCTTCGCCGGCGTAAACAATCTGAATGGGCAGCGTAGTCTGCAAAACGCGCGTCAAGGACGCAACCAAATGACACGCAAATCGCAGCGTGCCGTGTCCCGTCGGAATGACGATACCGGCATTTCTCGGCACGTACTCCGGCTTCTCTTTGCCGGACCCGGCGGCGCCCAATTGCTGTGCCGGGGCCCGCGGGGGCGCACGATCAGCGGCAGCGGCCCCCATAAACCTTCGCCTGAGATCGGCCAGAGGCGTCTGGCTGTGGATGTCCCTCGGCGGAGATTGCAAATAAGGGAACAGGGATGCGGCGACTCGCTCGACCTGGGCGTCGAGAAACTGTCTCTCGGCCCCCACAACCCGCAGGCCGTCGGTTCGGCCGCCCTCCTTCTCCTCGAGCGCCTCGATCCACGAGCGCAGCACCTTTGTGCGCTCACCCAGCTCTCCAAACACTTTCTTGTATGGCGGGCTGAGGGGGTAGTCGACGAAATATTGTGCCGTCGCGTTGATGGCGTCGAGGTTGAGACCGGACGTTTTTGAGGTGCGGAAGCTGAAGTTGGCTGATGTGAAAGGTGTTATCGCGCCGTGGAATCGGAGAAGGTAGACGACGCAGAGGGTGACGAAGGCCGCGCCGGCGATGATTGGCGTCGACTGACCGCCGTATCGCGGTGATACTAGGAGACGAACCATCCTTAAGGCCCTTTCACATTCCCTTCTTCTTCTCTCTCAAAGTCGTATCAATTTGTCGATTTTTTTTTTGCAGCAAAAAAGCTCGCAATGGAACTCGGAAACTGAGTCTTCTCCCCGCGTCTCGACTGCCTGGGCCGGCGACCTTTTAAACAGCCAAGACCTTCAAGCTGTGCTTCCATTTTTGGGGTGTTGGGACCGGTGCTAGCCCAAAGCTTATTATGCCGATGTTCCTTACTCCCGCGTCAAACCAGACTCAGCTTAATCTATCTGACTGGCGACACTTGCGCAGCTTCCACCCCGGCTCGCGTGTTCCGAGATCAGTGATATCTGCGTCCCGTCCGCCAGTCACAGGTGAAGACGCAAGATGATGCCAGCGGCGGCCAAACCAACAAGCATAGCCCATCCCTTTTGTCGTTAGGACCAACGGCGGGTGGGCAGGGCACACAGGGCCACGCCAGCAGGTCTCAGCCGTTGGAACTCGACTCGTCGTCCCATTGCGAATCCCTCTAGGGCTGGGCTTTCCAGCGTGCAGGGCTTGGAGGGGACAGGTCCAGGGACGCCCCTGGACCCCAAGCTACCGGGACGAACACGCGTCTTGGATATAGCATGGGCCCACGTCCAAAGCCCACAGGGTCCAGGCCACGAATCAACTCCCCCGCATCCCGAAAGGCTTCGAACCCCTTTTTTCCTTTCGTCTCTTCTTAGATCAATGATGGAATGGCATGTCAGATATATCAGCCGGCCACTGACCTCACATTTATCTGCCGTACATCCGTGACGGCGTTCTGAGTCTTTGGGTTTCATACTTGCTTTGATCGTTACTTTCCCTACACCTCTTCGAACGGCTTAACGGTTGGTGGTTGATGGGTGATGTGGTCTTCACCAGAACCAGCTGTCGCATTCGAATCGACACTGTGACAGCGCTGGAATTCAGCTTGAACGGCCATGACGGGGCGTTGGGCTCATTTGAAGCTCAAGGTATTTGATCTCACGCCAATTGGGCGGAGGCAGGCTCCTACTCATCTCATTTGATTCGAAACTCGTTGATCAGCTCGTACTCGAAGCGATGAGCCTTTCATTTTGGTTCGACCTGCTATTCCAGGCAAAGTGGCTTGTCAGCTGAAATTCTGAATTGAGACTTCAGGGGGGGATGCTGTCGGGCTTCGATCACGAAATGGTGCTAGCGCCAAGAAGAGGACATTAGCGCCAACGATCGCTGCTTACCTCAATTACTTCATGCTCATGGGTCTTGCCAGTGGGATGACTGACTCGTACTTCATGGCTGGCCAGCAAAAGAAAGCTCTTTGGCGCAACAATATTTTATCAAAATCAAAGCATCTTGATGTCCAAGGCTGACAAAGAAAGTTGACTTTAAAGCATGCGACTCTTTTGCTTGTGAGGCAATCGAACCAATGCAACCAGAACTTCAAAAGGACACGGCTAATTGAAACGGAGAGCCCAACTGAAAGTTTGTTATGTGACTTGACATTTGAACCTGCGCCTCAATGCGAAGCCACACACGTGATATCGTCGCTGAACCACCTTCTCAAAATATGGCCAATCTGAGGTCTCATGGCCAGCGGGAGCCAGGTTTTCCATGGAAACCACCTCACCTTAGGCGGGTAGGATGAGCTATGCTGCTCTCTGAGAGACCCGTTAAGGGTCAAGTAGGTTTCAGTGTTCGTATCGAGAAAGACATGAACGGTGGTGAAATCTAACCTATTGCGCATCAACTTGACACAGTCGCCAGCATTTCTGGCGCGCAACTTTTTGCACACACGTCCTCGTTCTTGTGTCAGTTGGCGTCGTTGGACCTTGACTTCTCAACTGTCAAGGACTGAGGGCTGACCCCGCCCATCCGATGCCTGACGCGCCTGGGTCACGCTTCAGATGTATAGGACGTCAAGTTAAATCCACCCTTCGAGGTGGGCGCTCAAGCGGAAATGCCGAGATTTCTACAACTGCGCTTCTCGCACAACACAAATTCAAGCGGATGTGGGTCGATCACTTGACGCACGAGGTAACAGAGGCCAACGTCCTGTTTACGTGGCTCTGCCTGAAGTAGGAAGCAAGCTTGAGAAAGACATCACCCTTTGGCGTGTGGGGTTGGTTTCGACGAAGGAGACCCTCGTACTGTCAAGGAGACAATTCATGTGTACGAAGAATGGTTCTTCGAATATCTCGAATGTATGTGTCAATTCTTGGAAGAGCTAAGGTACCCGTTTTGACGCCTTAAGCAGCCGTCAACGTCCATGTGAGAGCCGATCTCAGGGGGCGTGCCAAACAATCTCTCAGCCTTCCTTCCAAAGCCGATGATAAAGGCTCATCTCAATCGAGCAAGTGAATTTTTGCGGCTGCGAGCCTACGCAGGTGCTCCCATATGCTGGCATCGCGTCAGTCTTCCTCCACCATATGCTGCTCTGCATCGGCATGTCCCAGGATACGGCCGGTCCTTCAAGTATCAGTAACCAGGAAGTCCACCTCTCGTATGATGTATCTGCCAACGCAATCCAAACATCTAAGCAGAACAAGAAGGAGAAGGGGCATTGAAATAGGGACTCTGCTTCTTCGCGGCCTCGTCAATCTCATCCATGGTGGCTTGCAAGTTGTGCCCCATGGCAGTCGCCTCGTCGAGAAGCTTGATTCGGCCATAATCAAGCCTGATGCATTCCTGAATAACCTTGATTTCCCCGGTCCAATTCTGTAAGCCGACGTTGCCGAAGTTGCAGAACTTGCGGACCTGTTCCAGGTGCTGCTTCATCGAGTTGTTGCTGATCTCAGCGATCTTCTGGAACATGGCAATTCTCTCGGACAAGTCTTTAAGCATATCGACAGTCTTCTCGCGCGCCTCCTGGTTGGTTTGAAAGGCTGTGTTGAGGGTAGTGGCAGCGAAGTTGCGCGCGGCGTCCAGCTCGTCCGTCAAGTCGACGATCTCCAGCTGAGACTTCTCAGCGTCCTCGGCCTCCACATAAAGCGCGTCAGTCAGTAGCTGTGACTTCTCCTCGGCGGCTTCAAGCTTCTTCGTGAGTTCAGCGATCTCTTGCTTGTCGGCCTCGCGCTCTTCCATGAGCTTGACGATTTTCTGCTTGGACTCCTTGGCATCCTCGACCTCAGTCATCAAGTCGGCGTTTCTCTCCTTCAGCTCCTGAATCTTCTTTGCTGAATTTGAATTGATTTAGTGACGTTGTTTGGGTAGA